GTTGCTGTTGCAGCTTCTGTCCTTGACCTGTACCTGGCCAGTCTGGTGCCCACTGGAACCCAGGGAAGCCACCCACACTGCTAGATATACCCAGAGATGAAGAATAACCCTTGCCTCATACAAATAATATGAACAGCCCACAAACAAACACAACACACAATCTGCACAAACGTAACCCGCTAACAATGCATATACATGCACACAACCCCACATGCAGCCTTTCACATGCCATACCCCAAACAGCCCCACACATATACACACTCTACCAAACACACAATGTGACATATCCACACACAATTCCACAAGCAGCCCTCTTACACAGCCCACATTCATAGGTATCATACACGATACCATAAACTACTAATGAACATATACAATATAATAGCTCATAAATGCACAAATACAACAATACAAAGCAAGTACAGTAAAAAATAACACAAGCAGAAGACTGCAACATACACAGCTCAATTTAAAAAAACTAGGACCAACGCGCTACGGGACATCACAATCTTATATCGGCACAGTGCTGCTAAAAGGTTGCCTACCCCTGGGCTAGATGGTCATTGTTCCTCACCCGATTCAATTTCGTAATTACTTATAGGCCTGGGACCAGGAACACAAAGGCAGATGCACTGTCTAGACAGTTTGAGACAGATGAAGCTCCTGAACAGGAGGTATTTCCTATCATACCTCCAGAATGCCTCATTGCCACCACAGTTTCCGAAGTGTCTTCTCCACTCTTCTGTGCCATAATAGCAGATCAAACTCAGGCACCCGTGGGAAAACCTCCGGATAAACTGTATGTGTCACCTCTATTAAGAAAAAAGGTACTTGCTTTATTCCATGATAATCTCACAGCAGGTCATCCTGGAATCCATAAAACCCTCTCTGCTATCTCCAGGAGGTTTTGGTGGTCTACTCTTAGGAACGATATTAAAGATTATGTGGGGGCATGTCAAATATGTGCCGATTCTAAAGTTCCTCCTAGATCACCTCCTGGACTATTACAACCACTGCCCATACCTAATGCTCCATGGACCCATTTAGCCATGGATTTTATTGTGGATCTACCCAGTTCAAACGGGCTTAATACAATCCTTATGGTCATCGACAGATTCTCAAAGATGGCACATTTTATTCCTCTTAAAAAATTACCATCTGCTCAAGATCTCGTTCAGATATTCTTGAGAGAGATCTTTCGGTTGCATAGAGTACCCAAAAACATAGTGTTTGACAGAGGTACCCAATTTATTTCTAGGTTTTGGCGTTCCTTTTGTAAACAATTGGGTATCGAACTCTCTTTTTCGTCAGCATATCATCCTCAAACAAATGGAGCAGCAGAGAGAGCCAATCAGTCTTTAGAATCCTATTTACGTTGTTTTATCAATGCCAATCAGTCTAACTGGTATGAGCTCTTACACATGGCTGAGTTCGCCAGGAACAACGCGACTCATGAATCTTCTAATCATAGTCCATTTTTTGTAAATCAGGGTTATCACCCCACAGTTTTCCCTTCTGAATTCTCAGACACGGACATTCCTGCTTTAAACACCCGTTTAGAATCTATTCATGATACTTGGGATTCCGTTCATTCAGCTCTACAAAGGGCTTCGATACGTGCGAAAGTCCAATCTGATAAGAAATGGGGTGCCAATCCTGTCTATCATCCAGGTGACAAGGTGTGGTTATCCACACGCCATATCAAACTTAAGGTTCCTTCCATGAAATTTGCCCCTCGGTACATAGATCCTTTTCGAATCATTCGACGTATCAATCCAGTGACCTATTCCTTGGGACTTCCTGCCCATATGAGGATTGCCAATTAGTTTCATGTATCTTTACTCAAGCCTCTTACTTGCAATCGATACACTAGAGTGTCCACTCCTCCTCCGCCCTTGGTTGTGGGTGACCAGCAGGAATACGAAGTTCGTTCTATAATGGACTCCAAAATGTCAAGAGGTATCTTGTCCTATCTTGTTGACTGGAAGGGGTATGGCCCTGAGGAACGTTGTTGGGTTCCTGCTGACCGGGTTCATGCGCCCCGTCTTGTCCGGTCGTTTCACAACCGCTTTCCCTCAAGCCGAATCCTTCCCGCCCAGTGGGCGGTCTTCATGTGGGGGGTACTGTCGCGGCTGCCGGCCCGCCGCGTGGCACAGCTGTGCCCGACCGGCACAGCCTCGCTGACAGCACAAGCTTACCTGCTCGTCGGCAACCCGACAGCCGCTTCCCCGCATCCTCCGGCCGTCGCGCCCGGATCCAAAATGGCGCTGACCGCGTGGTCGCGCCTAAACATAGCTCCGCCACTGAAGTTTATACTGACGTGCGTGTGACGTCACGACGTCAACGCGCACGCATGTTTTGGGGTCAGAGGTCGCCCTCTGACCAATCAGACCTTAAAGATATTTAAATCCCTAGCTCACCCCAGTTCCTTGCCCTGTCGTGGTTTCCTGTTCCTGGTTTCCTGAGAGGGCTTTATCTTTGTGAATCTGATTTCCTGGTATCCTGATCTTGGCTTTTCCCTTGTTATTCTGAATTCTGGTTTCCCTGACTTGGCTTGTGTAAACGGTATTGTGTATTTTCTGGCTTCCTTGACCTCGGCTTTCCCTTTGACCATTCTCTGTCTCTAGCCCCCCCCAGTCAGTGCCACCAATTACATCTGGTGTCACAATAGCTTGGATTTAAAAAACAAAAAACTTTTTTCACTGTTATAGATTGAATAGCAGTCAGTTGTCTGCCACTGCTGCCAGCTTCTGTGTCAGGCTCACAGTGCATACTGTGCCCATTCCCCAGTCAGTGCCACCAATTACATCTGGTGTCACAATAGCTTGGATTTAAAAACAAAAAACTTTTTTCACTGTTATAGATTGAATAGCAGTCAGTTGTCTGCCACTGCTGCCAGCTTCTGAGTCAGGCTCACAGTGCATACTGTGCCCATTTCCCCAGTCAGTGCCACCAATTACATCTGGTGTCACAATAGCTTGGATTTAAAAACAAAAAACTTTTTTACTGTTATAGATTGAATAGCAGTCAGTGTCCTTAAAGCGGGTGTGTTACGCTAACAGTGGATACGGTGACCAGTGCAACCACTCACTGGTGTCATAATAGCTTGCATTTAAAAAAAATCTTTTTTTCACTGTTATATTGAATAGCAGTCAGTGTCCTTAAAGCGGTGTGTTACGCTAACAGTGGATACGCTGACAAGTGCCACTAATTAGATCCTGTGTCACAATAGTTTGGATTTAAAAAAAATAATAATCTTTTTTCACTGTTATAGATTGAATAGCAGTCAGTGTCCTTAAAGCGGGTGTGTTACGCTAACAGTGGATACGCTGACCAGTGCCACTAATTAGATCTGGTGTCACAATAGCTTGGATTTAAAAAAAACAAAACTATTTTTTCACTGTTATAGATTGAATAGCAGTCAGTGTCCTTAAAGCGGGTGTGTTACGCTAACAGTGGATACGGTGACCATTGCCACCACTTAGATCTGGTGACACAAAGCTTGATTTAAAAACAAAAAACACTTTTTTCACTGTTATAGATTGAATAGCAGTCAGTGTCCTTAAAGCGGGTGTGTTACGCTAACAGTGGATACGCTGACCAGTGCCACTAATTAGGATCTGGTGTCACAATAGCTTGGATTTAAAAAATAATATTTTTTCACTGTTATAGATTGAATAGCAGTCAGTGTCCTTAAAGCGGTGTGTTACGCTAACAGTGATACGGTGACCGCTACCAATTAGATCTGGTGACAAAGCTTGATTTAAAACAAAAAACTTTTTCACTGTTATACTGAATAGCAGTCAGTGTCCTTAAAGCGGGTGTGTTACGCTAACAGTGGATACGCTGACAAGTGCCACTAATTAGATCTGGTGTCACAATAGTTTGGATTTAAAAAAAAAATAATCTTTTTTCACTGTTATATAGATTGAATAGCAGTCAGTGTCCTTAAAGCGGGTGTGTTACGCTAACAGTGGATACGCT